ATGTACTTAGACCGGACAATTTTATTCATTGCAACTTATTCACTTTCACAGATTTATCGTCAGCTAAAAAATATTGCAACTAGTGAATTGATGATTATTAAGATTGCAAATGATATCAAAGCCGATGCATGAATTACACATATAACGAATAAATAAAAGTTTATCACTATTCCTCAAATCTCTCGATGAGCAATTACAAAATACCACATTATGAAACGTGAAAAAGGCCACAATATGTGATCACAAGTTTTTGACATGAAATAAGAAGTTGATAGGTACATGTTATATGAAAAAGTATGTTAGATGAAGCGACAACATTGCTCGTAGAGGGGAAAGCTACACTGTGCAAATACATTGTGTAGGAATGCTATAAAGTTCTTATTTGAAACAAATGCCTCTTAAACACAGGGTAGTGCTGCAGCACTCAATCTGTGGGCAATTCCCACGCACAGAAAGGGAAAACTTTACTTGAACCCAAGATTGCGAATCGTTTGGTTTAGTGTTGTGATCAAAAAGTACACCTTATATGTTCAAAGGGTATGACGAAATACTTTGGAGACTTGCAGGGTATGTAAGAGAAGAATCACAATAAATTAAAAGTTATTGAGATGTACCGCGTCACAAGGTAAAAAAAAAACTGCTGTACAGGAGATAAAAGAGTAAATAGAAACCGTGAAACAAAAGTATGCTCAAACGTATGGACAACAACTGATTGAATAAAGGAAAGAAATATCACAGAATGCTTCACCAATGCATTTGATTTCAGGAGCTTGCAGTATCCGTTCCGTCATAGTTTTCCTAAAATTTGTTGTCTACTAATGAAGTCATAGGCAAAATTGCCAAAGCAGCTTCAAATTTCACGTGGCAGTTCTACCTTTGGTCGACGGTCCTCGGTTTCTGTGTTCGATCCCTCCTCTAAAAGCTCGTCCAATACCGGTACCTTGACAGTCATATCCGCTACAAGGGCGTTCATATCTTCTGAGCCCAGTGAAAATACATCACCGTTTGACCCAACTGACAAATGTGACGTCTGAAACTACTGTCTTCATGGATTGTCACATCATACTTTTTGTTTTCTTACTCTACCCCGCTAACACTACCGGGTAAGCACAATTGCATAACCTGAGCAACCCTTAACCTTTGACTCATCAAAAGCATAAAGCATGTCTATGACGATGGTTTGGTCATCTAAATCTACGCACATACATCGCTGACTCACGCTGCCAGAGAGGGCGCATACGATAATAAGTCTAATAGGTCGAAGAAGCAATGTTGAGAACGTAACCGAATGACAAATTCATTCTTAACTTCACAATTAAACATGAGTCATCTATAAGAATTGGGGAGGCACTAGCACAAAGCGATGACTAAACTCTTTGCTATGTTATCAAGAAATCCGGAAGTTAACAATGGAATTTGATTTATGCTTGAGTATTGTGAGAATTATGTGGATCCCATTTGCTGGCAATACATCAACAACGTATTTTCTTCGTCAGTATCAACATAAGCAGCGAAGCGGGACGAAAGGAATTCTTGCAACTGTAAATTATGACTCAAAGCAATTTCCAGTTTGATTTTTGTTAGCATTTCCGCGATATAGATTTTCGAATTAATAAGGTCAGGCTGATCTAGTACTCTTTGGAAAATC